CCGGAAATCTAGTTTGGATCGAGTCGCCAGAGTAAATGCGGCAACGTCAACTGGAACGGTCATGTAACTTGGGGTCACTTATTCTAGTTGAAACAGCCGACGCGCTTAAAGCGGAAGTTGTTGAAAATGGATTATCGATTAAACTTTTACGTTAGAAACTTTCTCGACAGTTTTGACGAATTGACAATTAATGACACAATATTGACGAAACGATAATTAAACCAAGTTATATAAAATTTTTATTCTACCTCATCAATTATATAATAGGATAACTGAAATTTAGACCATTTTTTACCTATTCAAAAGAATATAGGAGAATATTGGAGAATATTGGAAGAAATTCTACAATTTTAGTCAGAAGTTTGCATATTTTCTAAGCGAACTTGAAAAAGTAGTTAAAACTATTAATACGACTTTACATAGTTATTTCAATTGTTTTGAAACTAGAATAGTTTAGAAGAACCTTATAGCTGTAGTTTAAATTTCCTTTCTTCTTCTTCAAGAAATTTTAATAATAATGGTTAATATAAGTTATTTTTAAATAAACTTGTGAAACTAAATTTTTTTCATTCATTGCATCTAAAGTGTACAAAAAAAAGAAACAAAGAAATATAATATTTATTTTATATGAATTATAATGTAATTGTAAACAAATATTTTCCATTATCCCTTAAAATTAAAACATTTTAGATGAAGACAGTTGCAATTTTCAGAATTAATTAAAATTTCAGAAGGTTTTAAACTAAAATTTTAGAAAATTTCAATCGTTTCGAAAAAATTAGTAATATTTAATTATTTCCTTACAAAATTGTTTTGGTTAAAAATAATTTTATTCACATGTCTTAAAAATGTAGGGTTTCTAACAAATTTTACTTCAATTTTCTAAAGTTATTTGAATTTTAAAAAACTTTTCTATTAAAGAATTATAGACTTAATAAAATTTTGTGAAATTGAGTTAAAAATTATTAAATTTGTTGAAGAATTTCATTAGGTAAAATTTTTTTAAAACATCGATTTTTCATTTAAAAATCAATCGAAGTTTAATTTAATAATTGAAAAATAATTGAATTTACAAATAATTCTCCTTAAAAAACGATTTTTTAAAGAATTTTAATTTTATAATCGAAAAATAATTGAATTATAGAAACAAATTTGTAATAAAATCGACTTTTAAAAGAATTTTACTTGGAAATTAATTACATTTTACTAAAAATTTCCCAAAAAATAAATTTTTGAGATAATTCTAATTTAATAATTGAAAAATAATTGAATTATCCCAAAAATGTTTCGAAAAAATTGATATTTCAAAGAATTTTAATTTAATAATTAAAAAATTATTAAATTTTACAAATAATTCTCCTAAAAAATTGATTTTTTAAAGAATTTTAATTTAATAATTGAAAAATAATTGAATTTTACAAATAATTCTCCTAAAAAATTGATTTTTTAAAAGAATTTTAATTAAATAAATGAAAAATAATTGAATTTTACAAACAATTCTCCTAAAAAATTGATTTTTTAAAAGAATTTTAATTAAATAAATGAAAAATAATTGAATTTTACAAACAATTCTCCTAAAAAATTGATTTTTTAAAGAATTTTAATTTCATAATTAAAAAATGCTGTTTATACTATTAATACGACTTTGCATAGTTATTACAATTGTTTTGAAACTGGAATAGTTCAAAAGAATCTTATAGCTGTAGTTTAAATTTCCTTTTTTCTTCTTCAAAGAAATTTTAATAATAATGCTTCTAATTTATTTTTAAATAAACTTGCAAAACAAAAGTTTTTCCATTCATTGCACCTAAAATGCACAAAAAGAAAGAAATTAAGAAACAAAGAAATATAAATTTATTTTATACGAATTTTAATGTAATTGGAAACAAAGATCTTTCATTATCCCCTTTTCGGAAAATATCACGGATGAAAACATGTCTGTCAACTTTATTAAACCACCTGAATATTTGAATCATCTCCTCTCTCCTCTATATATATAGACGGGTAGACATTTCCTCTACTTTTTAATTTTCTTTTTCATTCGTTTCAAAAATTTGTTCACGAGCGAAACTCCGCTTCTATTACTTTGCAAACTTTAGAGTTTGAAAACAAAGTTTTCCAAAAATTGTTAATTAAAGTTTATAAATTTCCCCTTACACAGCAAATAAATATAATAATTAATATTTATATATTCCAAGAGTAATTAATGTCAGAGTTTTGAATAAATAAAAAATAAAGTAGGTCAAGTTAATATTAACAATTATTAAACAAATATTATGATATTTTACTTACAAAATTGTAATGTACACATTTTTTAAAAATGTAAAAGTAAAAAATCCAAACAAAAAAAGTTGTCTAGTTTACTTTAATGACATTGTTTTGCGTCATTGTGGAGTTTTTTCACGTAAATTTGACTAAAATTCTATTAAAATTTAAAATTGTATAGAATTTTTTTGACAGCGAATTTTTGTTCCTTGTACTACGAGAATTATACAAATACGACTTGAATATTTGAATAACATTGTGAATAGACGAAACTTAATGACGCATTCTCTTTAGCAACGACTATCGAGAAAATGATTACACGTTCGCCAATATCCTGGAACGTTTCACAGAATTCTCCATCCGCCCCGTTTAAACTTTTCGCTAAATTGTCCTTTTTTCCTGTCACTCGTGTCACTCCAATACGCAGCACCATTAATCGTCCAGGATTTTCGATTGATCGAGCGCGTTAGATACTTATGAATTTATGACGGTTATTAGTCACTGTGTCAAACAAGCTGTTATCAGACATTAACCAATCGACGTTATATCTCCATCAATAAACTAAGTGCGGATTTCACATGAAGGTGCGCATAAATCAAAACAATATAACTTTATTACATCATCGGGGGAGTGTTCAGAAGAAGGTTTAAACAAGGTCCAAGAATAATGTGCCCCTGCATTTTCAATGACAGAATCTTTCAACTCATCATGAACTAGAAACACAAAACTTCCTTTTTTCCCTCAATTCATTAATTATTCACTACTTGCAACTACTTGTTTAGCGAGAGAGTGTGTTTTCCGTTTATTTATAATTTACAGAGTGTTTGCTGAAAACGTACTATACGATTTTTCAACTTCCTTTTTTCTGCTTGCTACACATAAAGTTTCCATTTCAAACGGAAATAAAAGGACGAATTTAAAATAAGTAGGTAGATTAAAATGTAGTTATACTAATACAAGTTTGCCGCAAAAAATTGATTTTCTTCTTTTCTGATTTCCAGACATTTTTCCTGATTTGTATAACAAAATTCAAGGTTCAATCATAAAAAAGATATCATTTTTAGAAGCAAAAATTGGATTTAAAACTTTAAGGGTTTTTTATTATTTTAAAAATTAAATTTACGTCCTTCGATTATTTTCGAAAATTACAATAAAAAACAAAATTCAATTATTTTTAACAGAATTTTAGAAAATTTCAATTATTTCAAAAGATTTCAATTTTCAATTTAAGGTCCCGATCAACGAAACGATTTGGAAATTAAATTAATTTTGATACAATTTGGATTTTTCAATACTTGTAAAATTCAATTATTTCTCAATTATGAAATTAAATTCTTTTTAGAAACAAATTTTTTCTAATTTTTTTTTTTAAATTCAATTATTTTTCAATTTATAAATAAAATTGTTTTTAAATTAAATTATTTTAAATTAAGAAATTAAAATTATTCCAAAAGTCGATTTTTTGTAAAAATTTTTATAGAATTAAATTATTTTTCAATTATTAATTTAAAATTCTTTGAAAAATTAATTTTTTAGGAAAATTCTTAGTAAAATTTAATTATTTTTCAAATTATTAAATTAAAATTCTTTAAAAATCGATATTCCTAGAAAAATTGTTTGTAAAATTAAATTATTTTTCAATTAATAAATATTAAAATTCTTCCAAAAATCGATTTTTTATGAAAATTATTTGTAAAATTCAATTATGTTTCATTATTGAATTTAAATTCTTTGAAAAATCGATTTTTTAGGAAAATTATTTGTAAAATTCAATTATGTTTCAATTATTAAATTAAGATTCTTTTAAAAATTGATTTTTTTAGGAAAATTCTTCGTAAAATTCAATTACATATTTTTCAATTATTAAATTTAAATTCATTAAAAAAATAATTTTTTAGGAAAATTCTTAGTAAAATTTAATTATTTTTCAATTATTAAATTAAAATTTTTTAAAAATCGATATTCTTAGGATAATTGTTTGTAAAATTCAATTATTTTTCAATCATTTTATATTCAAATTCTTTGATATTCGATTTTTTAGGAAAATTTTTTGGAAAATTTAATTATTATTGAATCGTTAAATTAAAATACTCTCAAAAATCTTTAGTAAAATTCAATTATTTTCCAAATATTAAATTTAAATTTTTTGTAAAATTTGTGAGCAATATTCAATTTATTTTCAATTCCTCGTTCAATTCTTAAGTTAAAATTCCAATGATTTTTTTAAGGAAAATCGTTGTTTTAAAAAGTTCCTTATGAAATTCTTCAACAAATTTATTAATTTTTAACTCTATTTTACAAAATTTAGTTAATTTTATAATTCACGAATAAAAATATTTTTTAAAATTGAAATAACTTTCAAAAATTGAAATAAAATTTGTCAGAAACCCTAAATTTTTTTTAGAAATTGGAATTTTCTGAAATTTGGTTTTGAAGAATTTTATAATTATTATTGATTTACCGAAATAAAAAAAACAAGTTATATTGTTTTAAAATTCATAGTAATTTAAAAGTTTTTAATGTTAAAAAAATTCAAGAATAATTTAAGTTTTAAAGTTTGTCTAAAAATATTTTTTAACACTAAAATCCATAATTTTTGTTGTAATTCTAAAAATTTGATATTTTTCACTACTTTTTTTTTAAAATTCCCTGAAATTTTCCTGATTAGTGACAACCCTGTAATAGTAACTATTTTTAAATCTACGCAATTACTGAAAATATTGGCAAAAACTCACCGTCATCTCGGAACAAGGATGGTCGATGAAAGTCAGTTCCGATTCCTCATCAGTTAACAGGACGCTGACCGTTTTTTCACCAGACTCGTCGTCTGAAACACATATTGCTACAAACTATACCAAAAACTCTAAGTACATTCATAAATTTTAAAAAATGAATTATGATTTGATAACAAAATTTAATGAAAAAAAAGGACGCGCAATATATGATTATGAATGTAATAAAAAGCATGCCTGTTTTTATGGTAGAAAATTGTAATTTTACTGTAGAAATGAATAAAAGAATCGTGTAAAGGTCATGGCGTATAAAAAATGTCAAAAATCCACCAAACTTACACTTAGTTTTTTTTTAAACAAGAAATGAAGTCACTATAACTTTCAAAATGAAACATATTATGCATTTTTTAATATCAAGGTTTCCTCATAAAATGAAGTAAATAGACTTTTAAGTTGACATTTATGAGGCAATAATTTTGTAGGTAATATAAGCTCAAAATTAATTGAAAATTAATAAGTAATATATGAAAAATATTTACTCCGTCACATCATTAGAGACAAAAATAATAAATTATTTCTAACAACATTTTTCTCTCAATATTATAATTATTGACTTTATTTATTTCACAAAATAATATTTCTGCTAAAAGTTCATATTTGTTTACTAATATATAGTAAATTCAACAAGTATGTAAATTTTAATGAGTATACTGATAAATATTAATATGCTCATATATGTTCGGAATAATAAAACATTTTATTCATCATACCTGTCATAAATAAAGTAATTTCCTTAAAATGAAAATAAATTTATTATTCGCGTTATATTTTTACGATCGTTATAAAAATACCCTGTATCCCTGTATTTCTAAAAAATATATTTTTAAATAAAACTATATCACTTTAAAAATACGGTTTTAATGGGAACTTTTGTTAAAAGTACGATTTTTACGTCTATGGTTTTGTAATAGTATTTAGTTTGGAGAAAAGTCGTTGGAAGAGGCATTAGAGTTAAGTTACGAGTTTAAAAGAGTTTTTTTTCAAAGGATTCGTTTCAACTGTTACATAAACGAAACGTGCCTCTGAATATACCTAATTTTAGTATCCAATTGCTTGGAATGGTCAAACCATTTATTTAAGTTTTTTTCTCTCAAAATATATACAATTCTTTTCCTTGAATTATATTTATATATAAAAGGAAAATATGTAGGATATAATATTTATAAAATATCTGCGGTTTTTTTTTTGAGAATTACTCATCCGTGTACCTACACATTTTGTGACATAAAAATTCTTCTCATTAAATTACAATGTAGTTTGCTTAAATAACTTTCGGGATGAATTTTTAAAGTGCTGGATGGCGGAAATTTCCGTTTTAGTAACGGCAGTATAAAGTTTATATACTAGGATATGTTGTACGTTGTCACCTGAGTTATAGACTGAAATCTAAACTTGTCCAATTTTGACACAAAACATATAAACATCAAAATTTACTGCATGTATTTTGTGTCTCTATAATTGCTTCTAAAAGCAATTCTAAACTTTTTCCTAATTTACAGGCAAAATTTTGATTTTTTCCCTGACGCTAAAAAATATTCTGATTCACTCTAAAAATGATCAGATACTCAAAACTGTAACTTATTCAAAATTATTTTCATCATTTCAATTCAATAATAATTATTATTCAGAAATTCTTCCATTAAATACTTATACATATATTAGAAAATAAAAACTACAAATAATTTTTAAAATATTCAATTAAACTTTTTATTTATTCATAATTAAACATTTTCAAAATTCAATTATCTAAAATTTTAACTATAATTCATTTTTAAATCAATTTTTATAAAAAATTCTACGAGAATTCAATTATTTAAATACAAAAATGAAAAATTCACTGAATAATAAGTTTCTTAAAACTAAATTCCCATAAAGAGTTTATTACTTATGAAAATAATTGAATTTTTATAAAGAATTTTATTAAAATTCTTGAAAATATAGTTGAATTTTTGCTAAGAATTTCATTACTTTCCGAAATAATTGAATCGTGTAAAGAATTTTACTAAAACTTTTAAAAATAATTGAATATCTGCGCAGAATTTTATTACTTATGAAAATAAATAAATTTTTGTAAAGAATTCTGTTGAAATTGTTGAAAATTAAATTCTTTCGAGGAATTTAATTGAAATAATTAAATTCTTTCGAGGAATTTAATTGAAATAATTAAATTCCTGTAAAATATTGAATATATTTATGAAAATAATTAAATGTTTGCTTAAAATTTTATTACAATTTTTTTAAATAATTGAATTCTTTTGGAGACTATTATGTATTACAATAGTAAATATTAAAAATCATTAAAATTGGGGAGAATTTTTGAAAAAAATTGAATTTTTAAAATAATTTAACTATTTATAAAAATAATTGAACTGTTGTGAAGAATTTTATTAAAACTCATAAAAATAATTGAATTCCTGGGAAGAATTTTATTAATTTAAGAAAATAACTGAATTTTTGATAAGAATTTTATTATTTATAAAAATAATTGAATTTTTTTGAAGAATTTTATTAAAATTCTTGAAAATAATTGAATTTTTGCTAAGAATTTCATTATTTAAGAAAATAATCCAATTACTGTGAAAAATGTTATTAAAACTTTTTAAAATAATTGAATTCTTGGGAAGAATTTTATTATTTACGAAAAGAATTGTATTTTCGAGAAGAATTTTATTATTTATAAAAATAATTGAATTTTTTTGAAGAATTTTATTAAAATGCTTAAAAATAATTGAATTATTGCTAAGAATTCAATTATTTTTCAAAATAATTGAATTAGTGTGAAAAATTTTATTAAAACTTTTAAAAGTATTTGAATTTGTTCGCAGAATTCTATTACTTTTGAAAATAATTGAATTTTTGCCGTGGATCTGTCTTATTTTTAAAAATAATTGAATTTTTGTAATAAATTTATTATTAACAAAAGTAATTGAATTTTTGAGAGGAATTTTATTATTTATAAAAATAATTTAATTTTTGTAAAGAATTTTATAAAAATTCTTGAAAATAATTGAATTTTTCCGTAGAATTTTATTACTTATGAAAATAATTGAATTTTTCTAAAGAATTCTGTTGAAATGGTTGAAAATTAATTTGTTGCGAGAAATATAATTAAAATAGTTGAATTCCTTTAAAATTTTGGTTATCTATGAAAATAATTAAACGTTTGCGTAGAATTTGTTTAGCAAAAATGTAATATTGGAAAAAATGATTGTTAGTAATGTAAAATTAAGAAAGAAGAATTAAAAAAACGTGGGGAATTTATTTGAGTTAAATAAAAGTACATTTTCTCAGAGCCTACTGAATTATTTATTGCTCTTAAATAAAAATTTTACTCGGCACGAATAAAACTTTTATCTGAATCAAATAAAATTTATTAAATCAAATATAAAGTTTAATAGGCTCTGAGTGAAATATTTTTTCCCTTATAGTGAAATATTTCTCGGTGTATCATTTCCGTTGACTGTATTCCAAAATAATAACTTTGCCAATTAGTAAAATTATACTACAGTGTAAATGAAATGTAATTTCAAAAAATGTAATTAAATCAAAGTTTTAAGCAAAATATACTAAACCTAATTTCAACTAAAATGAATATATTTATCTAATTCCACTTCACATATTTGTGTGAATAATAATGTGACACTGAAGGTCCTATTTTATTTTCGATAAAATTCCCGCTTTGATATTAAAAAGAAGAATTTGAAATTAAGGAGTGTCAATGCTAAATCCAGAATGATAAGGAGTGTATCCTTTTTTTCTGATCTTATATACATGAGCGAGCGCAAAAGTTTTATTTCCTCAAAGCACAATAGCAGAATATTTCGTCTTATCGGTGAAAATGTTTCACAAAGATAAATCTCGTATAGTAAATTTTTTGTGGAGCTATAAAACCTGATATATACGAAGGGCTGTACAAAAATCCACTAAATCTAAATGGAAGACATTTAAAATTATTCCATTGTATATACTATCTACAACCAGATATTTGTCACTGCTACACATTCTTATTCTCTGAACTCTACAAAAATGTTTAATGGAAAATAATATTTTTACCTTCAAGACGATATAAAAAGCAATTTTTTTTATTTTTACAGCTCAATAAAACCTGAAACCAAACCAAAAGATGTTGTTTCATCTTTCTAGATCATCTTTTTCTTTGAGACACACACATCGCGTTTTCTTTATCTTTAAATACCGTAGAATTTATACGTTCAGACATTTTTTTTCAAATTTCACCTTGGGTACAATTTTGCGCATTCATGAACATAAAAGAGTGATTTTTCAAAAAGTGATACTTTGGAACTTCAATTTTTTAATTTTTTTTTTTAATGTGTGAATCTGTTTCCAATTCGTCGAAGTGTTTGGGCCAAATTATTCCAAAAAGACCTACTCAAAGTATTTTCAAACTGTTTCATGCGCAAAATTGAGTTTTCTTTTTTAAAACCTCACTGAATACATGTGATGAATAGAAAACCACTAACCGGACACTCAAAAAGACTTCACATTTTATCTAGTGAAAGAACTCATAGAAATTTCCAAAATTTCACCACCGGGAAATGCGTCCCATTATGCACTTCACAAATATTTTTTTAAAATTTCATTTCAGTCTCGTTGAAAAAATATTACCAATATATTCAATGCTAATTAAGGTCGTTTTCAATGCAATTTAAGAAGCTTAAGAACATTGCACAACTTTTAAGAATAAGAAAACGAAGAAATTGAAGAAAAGTTTTTTTTGTGAAGGAGAATCAAGATCTGTTGAAGCAAATCACTGCAATTTCGATTGGACGAACGTGTTTAAACTTTCTTTTCCATCTAAGTCTCTTTTTAGAAAATTAAATTTGTGTTGGTTAATTGGAAGTTGACCGAGTCTGTCTGTGTGACTAACATTCTTAAAGAACATTTTTAAGGTTTAAAGGGTATTGAAACTACTAACGACTTGAAGAAAAGATACTTCTACAATTCTCCAGATCATTGTTCTAATCAATAAACTGATCAACTTTAATTTATAAGTTTTTTCTTTCATGAAAATAAAAAAAAAACAAGCAAAATCAATTCGACTTAATTTCGAATAAAAACTTTTTCTTTTGTCATATTTCAAAACTTTTCTGACATTGACCTAGTCACAGAGCTTTTTTTGCATACTGTATTCTAAAGGTTTGCCAGAAAAATTTGATTTGATTTTTTTCTGACTTTTCCCTTATTTCCAAAAAAAAATTTTCGGGTTTTTTCCTGACCGTATACAAAAATATTCTCATCTTATTATCTAAAAATTATTAGATACATGCTTCAAAAAATTCCATAGGAATTAAAATTTTTGAAAATTTCAAATTCAAACCTTTTGAAATTCAATTAATTAATTTAATTATAAGAATATTATTGTAAAATATGAAGAAATTGATGACTCCGAGTCAAAGACTCGGAGTGATCTATTTCTTAGTGTTTTATAATAATCAAAGATAAAATCATTATCTTATTATATTATATAAAAAACATTGTTACTCTAATTTCTTCAAAATTTCAATTCAATTATTATTTTCTACAATTTTTAACTATACAATTCTTCTTTAAATCAATTATTTTTTAATATTTTTGAAAAAGTTCCTTGAGAATTTTAAAATTCTTTTGTTTACAATTCAAATAAATAATTTTTAAAAAAATTCAATTAAACTTTTTCAAAAAAATTAATTATACAGAATTGTCAGTTAAAAGTATGAGAATTTCAGATTTTGAAAGATTTTAACATGAAACCTTTTCAAAATTCAATTATTTCTAAAAACTGAGGCTTCAATAAAATAACTAAATAAATAAATAATGCTTTTAATATTTAAATATTTTCTAAAATTAGAACTGAAATTCTTTTTCAAATCAATTCTTATCAAAAAGTTGTACGAAAATTCAATTATTTCAATACAAAAATAAATAATTTATTGAATGTTTGTTAAAATTGAATACTCATAAAAAAATTTTATCAACAAATTTTTAAATAATTGAATTCTTTTGACGAATTTTAATAACATTTTTAAGAATAATCACATTTTTCGAGGAATTCGATTAAAATTGTATTAAAAATAATTGAAATCCTGCGATGAATTTTATTATTTATGAAAGTAATTGAATTTTTATAAAGAATTTTATTAAAATTCTTGAATTTTTTATCACTCTTTCATTATTTTTCAAAATTATTGAATTCCTGTCAAAAATTTTATCAAAACTTTTAAAAATAATTGAATTTGTACTCAGAATTTTATTACTTACAAAAATAATTAAATTTTTGTAAAGAATGCTTTTAAAAATGTTGAAAATTAAATTCTTTCAAGGAATTTAATTGAAATAATTGAATTCCTGTAAAACTTTGAATATATTTATGAAAATAATTAAATGTTTGCTTAAAATTATATTAACATTTTTTTAAATAATTGAATTCTTTTGGAGACTTGCATTAAAGTAGTAAATATTAAAAATCATTGAATTAGGGAGAATTTTTAAAAATACTTGAAGTTTTGCCATGAATTTTATTATTTATAAAAATAATTGAATTTTTAAAATAATTGTACTATTTATTAGAATAATTGAACTGTTGTGAAGAATTTTATTAAAACTCATAAAAATAATTGAATTCCTGGGAAGAATTTTATTAATTTAAGAAAATAACTGAATTTTCGAGAAGAATTTTATTATTTATAAAAATAATTAAATTTTTTTGAAGAATTTTATTAAAATTCTTGAAAATAATTGAATTTTTGCTAAGAATTTCATTATTTAAGAAAATAATTCAAATACTGTGAAAAATGTTATTAAAACTTTTTAAAATAATTGGATTCTTGGGAAGAATTTTATTATTTATGAAAAGAATTGAATTTTTTTGAAGAATTTTATTAAAATGCTTAAAAATAATTGAATTATTGCTAAGAATTCAATTATTTTTCAAAATAATTAAGTTGCCGGCTAATTTTAAAAAATTATAATATTTTGCAGGAATGATTTTAAAGGTATTAGGGTCATTGAACAAAAAGAATTTTTTAAATATTTTTAATATTTATTGTTAAATAAGCATCTAAAGTATATGAGGTCGTAAAAACTGTCACTTTTTCATCTATTAGAAAATATTAAAGAAAACACATAATTTACTATGAAAACGTAACAAAATTATTAGAATTTATTAAAAACGACTTAGTTTATTATTTTAAATTGATAGAACCAATTATTATTAAGAAATATTACTTAAATGAAAAATGATTTTAAGGTTCTCCTGGCAAATAACCTAATTTTGAAAATAATTGAAATCATTTGACGAATTTTATTAAAATTATTGTATTAAAAATAATTGAATTCATGTGAAAAATTTTATTATTTATGAAAAAATTCATTTTCTGAGAACAATTTTTTTTTAATTTTTCAAAATATTTGAAATTTTTGGAAAAATTTTGTATTATTTTTTATCGAGAAATTTAAAAAAATTGTATTAAAAGTAATTGAATTCCTGCGAAGAATTCTAATCTTTATAAAAATAATTAAATTGAATTAATTTTTGAATATTGAAGTAAAATTATTCATTAAATAATTTTTAAGTAATAATTTTATGATAGTTCTTCGAGAATTAAGTTACATATTTATAAAGAAATAGAAAAACTTGAAAGTTTTGTATTAGAATTCGTGGTAATTTAATTGTTTATGAGGCAAATAAAAAAGACACGAAAATTCAGAATTTTCTCATGAATTCTAAACTCTTCATTTTTTTCAGTACTTTTAAAAAAAATCCCTGACTTTTCCCTGAATTCCTTATCTCAGAATATATGATTATTATAGTTGTAATATTATTAAAACTACATTCCATTTCATATTTTATTTTTATAAAAAAATATTTGAATTACAAATTTTTAAATTCTATTAATTTTTAAATTTTAAAAATTTTAATTAAAAAAAAGTAGGTAAAGAAGAAGTTAGTAAGAATTTTTGCTAGTTTCCGCAGTAAAATTACAATTTTGATTGAAAATGTACTAAAGGTGAAGGCAGTAATGTTTTTAGACGAGTTATAAAGGTTAAAAATAGAATTTTCCGAAAAGAAACTCACCAATTGAAGTATCGTAGGCGTGCAAATATTCGGAAGTCATAAATTGGGAGACGAGTGAACTTTTTCCGACTGCTGAAGCTCCGAGCATTAGAACCCGAAAGGGAGCAGGACCCTGGGAAGCACTACTTTCTCGCGAACTGGCCAAAGAATTTGCTGCTGAATTTCTCGCAGACCCGGGATACGAAGCCGTTAAATGCTCCGTACTGCAAAAAAATATACAAATTAAATTAATTAAATTTCAGAGAAATACGCTTAAGAGGATTTTTTTGCCTTTCCGACAAAACAATATACATTCGTTAAATAATTGCGAGTGGCTACTTCATGAAACATAGTTTCATTAACTGCTTTTATCTACACATAGATAGTTTCGTACATATGTAGATATTTCGTGTCGTTTACACCAATACAAGCATTTTTTTTACAAAAAACTTTGTTTGTACACATTTGGCTTCATTTGTAAATTTTGTGGCAGTGAGCAGGAGTTTGATAATAAACCACATGTCACTGCTTTAATTTACTTCACGGTAAATTTATCTGTCAGATAAGTGAGTAACACTGTTTAGTACGGCAAATACAAATTGCAAAATCTGTCTTGATAAATTGAGCGAAGTCAGTGCAAAATTAGTTCAATTTTGGTCACGAGAATTTAATTACTCAAATAGAATCCTAGGATATACGCGTATTGAGTATTTTCACATTAATTGTATATTACTTGATTTTGACTGCTTGATTGGCGTATCATTAGATTCTCCAATAAATGAGTACGTTTGTTGCGAATTTCGAGAAGATAATGATGTTTTCAACACATTTCACCAAAATTAACGTATTAATGCAGTTCAATTACTTTTACAAACAATTTTTAAAACTTCTCTTTCTGTGTATTCTAGTTTCTATTGCATGTATTAATAAATTTTCATCTTGTTAATCAAAAACAATTTTTTAGCTTGGGAAAAAATATTAAATTAAAAATCATTGATATTTCAGTCATACTTTGTCAGACTTTGCACTCGATAATTAATTTTAAAAAAGCAGCAAAAAGTCGCTTTCAAACTAATAAAAGTAGTAAAAAAGTAGCTATATCGAAAAATTAAACTTGAAGACCAAAAAAACTCGTTGTCATAGACACTTGACAAATCTGACAAAAATTCCTTTTCATATTTTTTATTTTCCAGACTTTCTCATCTAATAAATTAAAAGATAATAAATAAAAAAAAATTATAAGCGAATAAATTAAATTCCTGCAAACGAATTTTATTATTCATAAAAGAATTTCAATATTTATAAAAATAATTTAATTTTTTCGAAGAATTTTATAAAAATTTTGTTAAATAATTGATTTCTTTCGACTAATTTTATGCAAATTCTAATTTAAATAATTGAATTCTTGAGAAAGTTTTCTTATTCATGAAAAGAATTGAATTCTGTTAGAAAATTTTATGACAATAGTAGATATCAAAAACACAGCCACAAAAAAAAAAAAAAGTTCTGATCTGGGGGTCTCACTATGTAGACTTTATGGTTTTTGGGTCGCTGAATCCGAATCCGAGGTCCATTTAACCTCATCACATCAGGATTTTGAGATAACCTCAAAAACCAATATGGCGGACACATTTTTGAAAAGTTTATCGGATTCGCTTGAAATTCGTTACTCGGGGGTTTTTGGGGTCGCTGATTAAGAATTTAAAGTCTGATTTCAAAAATTCAAAATGGCGGATCCACTATGGCGGACACGTTTTTCAAAAATTCATCGGATCCGCCATATTGAATTTTTGAAATCTGACTTCAAATTCGTAATCAACGACCCCAAAAACCCCCGAGTAACGAATTTCAAGCGAATCCAATGAACTTTTCAAAAATGTGTCCGCCATATTGGTTTTTTGAGGTTATGTCAAAATCCTGATCTGATGAGGTTAAATGGACCTCGGATTCGGATTCAGCGACCCAAAAAACATAAAGTCTACATAGTGAGACCCCCAGATCAGAACTTTTTTTTTTTTTGTGTGGCTGTGAAATCATTGAATTGCGAAAAGTTTTTAAAATGAATTAAATTTTACAAAGAATTCTATTAAAATTTTTGACAATAATTGAATGTCTGTGTGCCATTTTATTCAATTTTTTTGAAAATAGGTGAATTCCTAAAAAGCATTTTATTATTTATGAAAATAATTGAATTCTTGCGAACGATTTTATTAGAATTCTTTTAAATAATTGAATTTCCAAGAAGAAATTTATTACTTCCAAAAATAATTGAATTCTTGTTATGAATATTGTTATTTATGAAAATAATAAATATAAATTTTGAAAAGAATTTTATTAAAATAAAATTTGAAAATAATTTAATTCCTGTGAAAAATTCTAATATTTTTGTAAATAATTGAATTATTGCGAAAAATTTTATTATAAAATATTTCAAAAAAATTGAATTCCTGTAAAAAAATTTGTTTTTTTAAAATAATTTAAAATATAGTATTCAGAATAATAGTTTTTTGGTTTTTAATATTAGCGAATTTAAAGCAAAAAAAAAAAAAAAAAAACACAATAATAGTAGTAGTTTCTAGTGGCTGAAATCTAAAAAAAGTACCCAAATAGTAGAATCACGTAAAAACGTAGTGAATAGTAGGTTTTAGTAGATAAGTGCGAAGCCTGGTGATATTTTCAGTAAAATTTCACTAAATGAAATCGCGAGAATAGAGTATTTCACTAATTCGGATTTAGAGACCATTTATTAGCGATTAATTGAAATGCCCAGGCGGAAAAGTCGGACGAATGTCGGAATTTACAACCGGCTGGGATCCGCGCCCGTACAGACCGCAAGTACCGACGGTCTGTACCGATTCGGATCTGAAAAAGCAACCGGCGCGGTACAGATTATGCTCCGACTGTCGGAACCGTCTTCCCACTATTGTCAGTACTGGCTCGGTACTGGATTTCTTCCGCCGGCGGATCTTATTCTTCTGCGGCGTCGGAAGAATGACGGATATGTTGAGTCTGTACTGGCTCGGTACTGGGGCGGATCCGACTGCGGATCTCGTCATTTATTGTCACATTATAAATTAAATAATTATTACAAGTAATTGCATTATTTTAGAAAATAATTATTAATAAATTAATCTAATCAATATATTAAGTAATTATTTATTGAGACTTTTTTAAAAATTAAATAATTAAAAAAATTCGTTATTAATTAATATTATATATTATTAATTAATAATATCTCAATAATAATTGAATAATTGTTTCTCAATATAATAATATTGAAGGTAATGATATTAATAATTTTAATTAATATCTCAATAATAATAAATTTATGGTTATTGATATATTATTAATTAATATTAATATTGATACCTAATTTATTATTAAATCTCAATAATATTAATGTTAATTAATAATATATAAAATTAATTAATAATATCTTAATAATAATAAATTTATTATTATTGAGATATTAATTAAAATTATTAATATTATTACGTTTAATATTATTATATTGAAAAACAATTATTCAATATATGTATTATATAATAATAAAAATATAACAAGTTTCTTTTTTAACGAAATATTGAAATAGTCCTAAATATACATTCAATAAAGTATTAAAAATATAGCGGTATCATTGACGCGTAGTAATTCTACAAGTTTTTTTTCAGCTTGTGACACTTGAGAGTATTTAAGATTTGAGAGTCCCATGCGAGCGTAGCATAGTGGTTAGCGTGCGAGATTTCGGTGCGTAAATATTCGGTTAGGCGTAGGTTCCGTACCCCCAAGCGTTAGGATTTTTCAAATGTCTATGTAATAAAAAATTGCGTTTAAGTGTATAAAAAAATAAAAAAAATGTGTAAAGTGAACTGTCAATGAATTGTCATCAGTATTTATCTTTTGCAATTAATTATTATTTTTTTTATTGATATTTGTTGAAATTATCATTTGGATCCGACCCGGTTGTCAGTCGGTAGAATGCCAGCGCTCGGCTGGCTATTAAATGAAAAATCCACGGTCGGTAGAGTGCCAGGTCCCAGCCGGTTGAATTATACACGGAACGGCTTCTCCCGGCCGGTCAGCGGGCGGTAGAATGCCAGTTCCGAGCCGGTTGCCAGCGCGCTCCTGGCCTAGTCACTATTCGGTAGAATGCCCGTTCACATTCGGTTGGCAGGCGGTTCCGAGCCAGTACAGTTACACCGGCGTCAGTACGGACTAGGATCCGCGCCGGTTGGAAATTTCCGCCTGGGTGTAATTGAATGCGCCAAAAAAATGAAAAAAACCTTTCACATTATATTCCAAAGGGATCTTATTAACGGAAATTATTGAGAGAAATTTTTCTCTTCTTTTAATGAAAAGACCATCAAAATCAATACTAAAATGGCTTCGTTCAATGTTTCTTTAGCGCATTATTTGTAGAACAATTTTAAAGCACAGAATGAAATATCGTGGCAATTCGATTTTACCGAATAAAAACTCAAGTGGCAAAAGCAGTGAAAAGTAAGAAAGCAAAACGGATCAAGTGGACATTTGAAAGGACGTTGTTCCTCTTGTTGTGGAGAGGTCATGACAAACTGGAGCATTGAATTTAATGCTCTGAAAAGTATTGCCACGTCTCAGATATCAAAAAGCTGTGTATATAGGAGGCGAAAATAATGTATAATTCCACTGGAGAAGAAAGGAGAAAAAAAGGAGAAAAATTTCCTCTCGATAAAAAATTTATTTTATTTATAAATATATTTACTCTTAGGATATTAGCAATTTTTTTCACCTATTAATAGAATTATATTTCGAATTAGTTCACACGACTTTAAGGCAAAAATTGGAGATTTTTCAGAGATTTTTTGAATCGTGAAAATGTACGTTCCTGCTCACAAAATTCACACCTGGTTCCAACTCCACTATAACGTGTGTGTTGTCAAAGCCCCTGGAAAAATAATAGCATAAAAGCTTCACTGAGACGAAAACCTTGTGGCCCGTGTAATACTCTGACCAAAATATCAACTATCTCTCATCGTGTTAGTGCTGAAAGAAAACTGTTTATGATTAACGAGCCGTGAAAAACTCCAATAATGTATAAATTACATAAACAAAACTTTCATCTACAACAAAATAATGATCAAACTTTTATCTCCGCATTATAAGTCTGTAATTGATTCATTTTTAATTACGTAATAAAAATAAGGTGTCGGTAAAACCATTTTTCAGTGGCTGAGTTATTTAA